ACATTCCTAACGCAGCAGGAGAAAATAAATAAATAAATGCTTTAGCCAGGAGGGAGGGAGGTCACATGCAGTGACAGAGTGGGGGGACCTGCTCCCACCATGGCTCCTCACCCAGCAATGCCCAGGCTGGAGGCCTGACCAGACACCAATAAATCGTTGGATGGTGCAGTCAGTCCCTGATTTCTCACTCTGTCAAGCACCCCCACACTTTTGGCTCAGGTTGTTAAGGCGTATCTGTAAGGCATTGGCAGCGGGATCCCGCTGGCAGCACACTGGGGTCCCACTGGCAGCACACTGGGATCCTGCTGGCAGCACACTGGGATCCTGCTGGCAGCACACTGGGGTCCCTCTGGCTGGCACGGAGCAGCAGCACTGCCAGCACAGCCCGTGCCTGCCACAGCAACACAGACGGGAGGACGTTCCTGCCAGCCAGCCAGGGAAAATCCCAGCACAGAGATGGGCTGGGACACTTCCCTGACAGCAAGACCTGACAGAGGTGAGCCACCATCCCCAGCCAGCCCTGGTGGCTCTGCATCCCACACCTGTGCTCCTTCATACTCAAATTCCTCTTCACAGCACAAGGAAAGGGGTCAAAAACAGGCTTCATCCAGAGCTACAGCAGGACCAGCCACGCAGTCCTGATGAGGAGCACAATGGCATCCCATGGCCAGTTGCCAGCAAACCCCAGCACAGAACAGCCCTGTCCCAGTGCCACTGGCACAGGATGGATGCCGCCAGGGCCTTCCTTTGCTGTTCAGCAGCCTCGGGTGAGGAGTGAGCTGGCGTGGGAAAAGCCAAACACAACCTTTGCCAAGACTGTGCCCACCCAGTGCTGGGCTCGGGCTGGTATTTTAATAGTTCAAATTTGGATTATGAAATTCTGTATAACTGGGACAGAAAGAAGCCATGACTGACTCTATCCACAGAGCATTTTCCTTCCACTCCTAATAACTGATGCTTGACTCAGGAAGGAAATAACCTAAAGACAGTGATATAAACCATTTTAATCTGTCCAAAATGGTAACAAGGAATGGAAAACAGGCCATAAGTATGAACTTTTTCCTCTCCTCATCCCAACAGTTTTTAGAATCAAAATAATAACTGTTCAGAAAGAAACAGATGCCAAGTCTTGGAGGAGCCTCACCTGCAAGTACTCAGAGCTCACCTCCACACCAGTTCCAAGAGCTGTACAGCAGCCAAGTCCCAGCTCAGGGCAGCCACTTATCTAATTAAGCTAATTAAGGAAGTGCCTAAATGCCGACAGGCCGAGACAATGTCCTGCTCAGGTGAGCAGAGGTCACCTGGTTCATCTGGCCGAGGCCACTCACCCCGCTGGGGACACTCCACACGTCACAGAAAGCAAAGGGGCCAAACAAGCACCAGGCAAGGACACCTCCCCTGCCCCCCTCATACCCACCCAACCCCCAACAGTTCCCACTCTTTTTTTCTTTAAATGCAAAAAACTTCCTCAGGATGCAAACCAGTCCAAGGAGACACAGGCCACACACAAAAACCAGACACGATAAGCCTTGCATTGCATGTCTACAGGAATCTACCAGGCGTGCGCACGGACAACCACACCGACACGACACCTCACCTCACCTAAACCAACCAAAGGCATTTTTTTGTTTCTTTTGTTCTTTTGTTACAGAAGGCCACTTTGAAGTTAAACAAAGAAAAGGAGACAAGGAGCCCAACAGCAGCAGCAGCCCAGGCTGGCCCCGTTTGTGAGATGAGAAATGCTCCTCCCCGGACACACCACATGCCACTGCCAGAGAGCAGAAGCCTCTGCAAGGGCCATCCCCTCTGTCCAGCTCTGCCCAAGAAACCAAAACCCGACCATGCCACTGGCCAGGAGCCCAGTGGTGACACCGGAGCCCTTCTGGCCTTCAACACCCAGCACTCAGCCCCAGCACGGACAGACACACGGACACTCACACACACATACATGTGCAGAAAAAGGCCTGACAGCAGCAGTTTGGCTCCAGCCCTGATTGCCCAATGTGCCACCAGCTTCCCCCTTCCCCCCGTGCCCCCAGGGACACACAACCTGCTGCTTCTCAGATCCCACTCAAGTGACTGCAGAGAACGTGGGAAATGGGGTCATTTCCCTTCCTAAGCTAAACTACACAGTTCTGGCTAATTGTTCTTGGTGATGTCAGGAATACATTCCTGTATCTAAAGTGTCAGCATTAAGAGCTCTTTTCAAGAGCATTTTCAAGTAGCAGTTTGGGTTCATTCCCCTCTGCCTACAGTTCCTTGGGAGGTGAGATGGAAAGTGGCTTTGGCAGCCGTGGGGCTCTCGCAGCTGCTCCCAGCTGGGGCAGCACAGAGAGTTCCCTCTGTCACCTCAGTCACCTGAGGGGTTCTGCTTGCACAGGTCTGCTGACCCTCCAACACACCTGGCTGTGCCAGCTGAGCTCCAAGCACAGCCCCAGCTCCTGACCACATTTTGGCTGTTGGCAGTGGGACACAAAGCGTGGGGAGTGCGTGGGCTGCAAGGGCACCTGCCCTGGTCTCCACTGACCAACAGGCTCCAAGCCAGGCATGACAGAACAGAAAATCCTCTCAAACTACTATGTAGAAAAAACATTTTCTATTGTTTCTATAGTATGGTTACAAAAAAACTAACATTATTCAACAACAGAAAAGATTTCTTCTAAACTTTGTATTTGATTTTTTGGGGGGACAAATTAGATCTTCTGAATCCCCAAGTGTACATATATATTTATATATAGCTTTCTCCATAGGGAAAACATATATCAAAGGAGGAGAGACATTCTTTAAGTGCCCCTTGTCATACAGTACTGAACAGGACTTCTAAGAGCATCAGTGTAAATCTGAATTTTCTGAGCAGGAATGACAGAGGTGGGGAAAGGAAGGGTTGTGGCTGCTCTTTTCACAGAGAAGAGAAAGAAGTTTGCTGACTTTAAAAAAAAAAAGAAAAAAACCCCAAAGAAATGTTTCTGGTAGCCCTGAAAAAGGCAGATGAGAATGGGAGGACCCAAGACATCCAAAGCAGCTCATGGGCTGACCAAGGGGGACAGGCTGTTCCTGAAGGGGAGCTCAACACCCATGAAGGGGATCAGACACACAGCATGGCACAGCTCTGGGGGAGAGAAAAACTGGCCGAGATGCAGGACTGGGCTGGGCAGGGCAGGGCAGGGCCACTCCTCCCTCTAAACCACAAGGGAGCAGGAGATGAGGTTCAGCAGCACCCCCTGTCCCTGCAGCACAGGCCATTCCATCACCCAGCAGAAAGCTCATCTCCCTGGGGCTCTCAGCCAACTCCTGCACTCAGCCCTGTTCCCAATCCTGCTCCTTCTCCTTCAATAACGAGATTTTGTTATTTTGTGATGTCAGAACAGTAAAGAAAGGCAGAAAGGCATGTCCTCACTCCCAACACCACTGCAGAAGGCAAAGCCACACAGTCCCCTGAGAAGGGAGATGACCTTGCAGCAAACACTCGGTCTTGAGTTTCTGATGAGGAGCAACTGCCCCGATACCCAACACTCACCTTCCAAATATTGGCACACAACAGCCTCTGTGGGAAAGCACCTGCACGGACAAGGGATGACCAAACCCTGGCGACTGCGGGAACCTCCCAGTGTTAACAGTGCACTGGAATGAGAACAAATCATCTGCTTAGATGTGGTTTCAGGATAAGAAATCCTTTAAGATTCGTCCATTCTGCAGGAGCTGTGCTGGCAGCACAGCTAAGAGCTTCCTGGACTCAAGGGTGCAAGAAAAAAGAAAACAAGAGGTAACTGTGGAGCAACTGGGGCTTCACAAACAGAGGTCACGCAATTCCCAGCCAGACCTGCTCAGAAGGCACAATGACCCCTGACCTCTGCAGTCATTTCTCCTGCCTCCAGACCAGTTTCAACCAGGGACGGTATGGAACAGGCAAGTGTTCTCACTTTAACCCCTTTCACACCAGTCCTCAACAAGGCAAAAGTGCTGCTGGAGTCAACATGTCTTTGGGCAGACTATGGGTCCTGCTTTCCTAGAGAGGACCTCATCCACACTGCAGGCAGCACAGTGAGGTGTGAGGACTCAGCCCTCCTTACCTCCTCCCCTCCCAAAGCTCCTGGGCAGATGCTGGGACCAGCCTCCCATCCTGTCCCAAGGAGAACAGTCACTGGCTACAGCAGGAATTTTGCCTGCAGTAAGGACTGTGGAACACTTACTTTAAAAAGAGAGGAAGACAGAATGGAGATCATTCACAGCAGTGACTACACACACGGTGCAAGGACCAGAACATTCAGCCAGCAACAAAACACATCCTAAGCAGCCTCCCGGGCAGGCTGGCAGGTACCAGCAGAGCATTCCTCCTCTCCTGGCTCCACAGGATTTGCCACTGACCTCAGAGAGGTCTTGCCCCATCACCAGGAAGGGGCAACAGGAGGGTCCCAAAGGACGAGGGTTCTTTGGTGCACATCTCACTGTCAGGCACGAGCTCTCACACTGATCTCCTGCAGCAAACCCTTATCCTGCACAAGGAGAGATTGTTTACCCCCCAAAAAGGAACAAAGCTGCCAAAGCTGCCTGCGCTCTGGAAGGGAACCACATCCCCATTTATCCCTTTCTGAACCCACTGACCCCAACAGCAAAGCGTGGTCAGGTCAGAACAAACTAACAAACAACATTAACCCACACAGCAAATCCACGACATTTCTCTTGGTCTTCTTGTCCCAGGTTCCACCCACCAGGCCACAGGAACACCCAGCAAGCTGCCAGCACAAAGTATCTGCCTCTGCCCAACAACGAACCCGAGAAACCTGGGGGGCTTGGACTGGCAGGAGAGACCCCGACCAGGGCTGTGCCGTGCACAGAGATCTCCAAAATCAATTACTGCATCAGCAAACCAAGCCAGACAAAAACCAAAACCCCCCAAAACATCCAAACAAAGCACTGTCAACCATTAAAATAATAAAAAACAGGGTTTTTTTGACATAGCTATAAAAATCAAGTCATTTATAAAACGGCAACAAATGAAATCCAGTTGTGTATTCTTTTTCCTTTTATTAGACAGGACAGAGAATTTCCTTAAAATGCCATAACAAGTCACAGTGATTTTAGATGGTTTTTGAAATGTAATATATTGATGGGAAATACCTTTAAAATGGTTTGACTTGCGGTTTGTTGTTGGGGTTTTTTTGTCACTATAGAGGTACCCTGGTCCACCAAACCATCTATCTTAAAGTTTCTTGTTTAGAGAGGACACTCTATCTTCTTCCTCCAAAAATGAATTTTGTCTCATAATCCTGCAAAATAATCAACCTTACAAAAGGCCTTCAAATGTTATATTTATATATATATGTATGTACATATATATACACACACATACACACATATATATAAATATAGACTTCTATGATTTTTTTCCCATTCTACGCAATGTCTCGATAAAGAGATCAGCAATTTTTATTCTACAAAGAAGCAACACATAAGAGGGCAAAATTAAAGTCTTAAGAACATCATATCCATAGTTCACTCATTACACATAAAAGGAAAAAAAATCACCATGAACAACTGTCTCTGCAGTTTCTCAGATCAGCCAATCCGAGCGCGGAGCAGCCCCGTCCCCGTCCCCGCTGGCAGGCTGGGCACTGTCCCCAGGATGGGCACTGTCCCCAGGCTGGGCACTGTCCCCAGGATGGGCACTGTCCCCAGGATGGGCACTGTCCCCAGGATGGGCACTGGGCAGCTGAGCCCAGCCCAGCCCAGCCCAGCCCGGCCCGGCATTCCTGTGCCTCCCTCCTGCCGAGCCGGACGCGGTTGGAATGTATGGAGTTTCCTTAGGAAAGGTTCCCACCAAAGACCTTGCCGTCGGCCCGTCCCCTCTAGGCCAGCTTCAGCGTGCTCACCGGGAACGACGGCATGGTCACCATAGTCACGGGGTTCAGGACCGTCTGCCCCACCAGCTGCGGGTGATGCACGACTTGGGTGCCCACGGCCGGCTTGGCCATCACCGCCGGCTGGCCCAGGCTCGCCGTGCCGTTCACTTGCTGGTGCGAGATGGTGTGAGCGATGTGGCTCACCACGGGCTGGCTGACGGCCACGGGCTGGGGGTAGAGGGGCAGCTGCGGGCCCAGGTGGGCCATGTGGTTGATGGTGGCGGGGTGCACAGTGATGTGGCCGATGGGCTGAGCAGCAGTGGTGAGTTGCACGGGGCTGGACGTGGAAGGTGCAATGTGAGCAATGTGCTTGGTCTGTGGACCCTGAATCACGTGGTTGACAGTCTGGATGACCGAGGCGTGGGTGGTGGCCGTGTGGGCGATAACAGTCGATTGCACGGTCGAGGCCGCCACGATGTGAGTCTGTGCAGGGACGATCGCCTGCGGCGGGACCAGTGCCTGCGTCTGCAGGGGGGGCTGGGCGTGGGGCTTCTGCTGGATGGAGAGGTGAGGGGGCAGGACCGCGGGCAGGGGGGGAGCAGCATTCGGGGGGACAGCTTTCAGCAGCTCTGGGTGCTGGCGCTGGGTAAGTTTTGGTAATGAGTTCACTGGCCTGTCATCTTCCATGTCTTCATCGATGTTGTCTTCACCCTCTGGAAAACACGAGAGGAAACTCCCATAAAAAAGCAAGCAGAGCATGAACTGGACCAACAAGCCTTCCTAAAGGGCAGCACAATGGCACAGCATGGCATGGCCTCTTCTCACTGCTGTGGGCCAAGGACCTGGAGCCAAGCAGGCACGACAGCCCCAAGCTCCAGCTAGAGTGCAGTGCTCCCAACAGGCCAAGAGGTCTCGCTGGGCAGGCACGGGGACCACCGTGAGTAGAGGCTGACAGAAAACACCTGGTTGACCTCTGTCTGGGCTGAAGTGGCTCCTTCTGGGAAGAGGAACAGGGTTTCCTTTCTTGGCCAGTTGTTCCACTGATTGGCACCACCCTTTCTGCTCCCAGAGCAAGAAGGAAACAGCAATGGAGAAGTATGGTAGCAAGTCCCTCATGTAGTTCTGGGAAATGGACTTTTGTCCAGTGAAGGAACTAATGAAGCAAAGCAGGAACATGCTGGCCCTGCAGAGCCAGCACAAACACCCTGCACTGCCTGCTCTAGAGTCAGCCATGCTGCAGAGAAAAAAAATCCCAGAAGATACAGAAGCAGCAGGAACCAGGGAAGATAATTCCCCTTCACAAGCTCTGGTGTGCAGCAACTTGACACGGTGGCTTTCAGCACAGGTCACTGCACAGGGAACGGCCAACACTCCTAACGACAAAGCCCTGCTACTCCTGACTTCCACCAGCCTACACCTGGAGCCTGTCTGTGTGTTCAGAGGTGATAATCCTGAAAACAAGCCTGAACAAACCAGAAACCTCAGATTTTCCCTTCCTGGAACCCATGGTATCATGTGCCTGCAGGGCCAAGAGCAAATGCTGGTTTGAAGGAGCTGCTGTGAACGGTTCCGCAGCGCTACAGCCTCCACATCTCTGCAAAGCTCTACATCCACAGACTGCCTACTCCTCCTGCTGCAGATCCCTGGTGTGGAGGAAAGCATGTACTCTCCTATCTCACAGAACTTCTCACTGGGAACTGCACGGCAGATATCCATTAGTGTCATTTCATCTTCACTATGAATCCTTCTCATGCAACATGAAGGCTCCTTAAGTTGTTTAAGTGCTCTGGTACCAAATCCTTCTTCTCTATGTGCTGAACACCCTCCCATATCCACACAAATACATCAGGATGTCCATTTCTAATGAGCAGGGCTGCAAAGCTGTGTAAGAGGAAATCTAAGTTTGGAAAACAGGGATTTATCTCCCCGTGAGGAAGTGGCAGGTCGGAAGCGCAAACCTGCACTTTGTATCTACCTGGCATTGATGCACAAATTTCAGTTTTACTTCACACAAGCAGCAATGTGTTATTAACCAATATCAATCATTAGCAACACTCGAAAGCCTTTTACTTTATTCTGAATGCAAAGAAACCCTGACGCTGCCAAAGGAAGATCCCCACCATCCCTACGTAACTGTGTCAGTGACCTTCCGTGGGGATTACAAGGAGAGAAAAACTATGGGTACCTGATGCTGTCGAGGTAGATGCCTGGTCATCCTCTGGCTGAACTGTCTGTCGAACAATTCTGTCAATCTCCAAGATGTCCATCCACTGGCTCAACTCGTTCTTCAGCTCTGCCAGTCGCTGCTGGGTAGCGATCTTCTCTCTCGCCAGCCGCTCCATCTCATGTTCATATTCTTTTTCCTTCCTCTTTAAAGTCTAAAAACAGCAGGAAGAAAAAGAAGTATAACATGAACAAAGACAAGAGTAGTCTACACTAACCCGGTCACTCCCACGTCCACAGCTAATTTTCTTATACTGCCAGTTATGCTGGTGTAAAACGCGTCCAGCTACATTTACACCTGCCAAATTCAGGCAGAAAGAGAAGGACAAGAGCTGGCACCTGAAGGGTTGCTCTGGCCAAATGCTTTCTGCCTGCTGAGGGAAAACTGATGAGCCTCAAAAACTGAAACACTCAGAAGGAAAGGAAAAGCAAATGATGAGCTTCTGAGCAACACACATCACACCAAGAGTTCCTGACCTAGGAGAGATGGTGAAGAGCCAACAACCCCCTGCATCACAGAGAAATCCTGAGGTCAGACACAAAGGAACTGTGTATGTTCTCCTTTCCTGCTAATGCATTGGAAGTGTCTGTCGGCAGGGGAGCTGCTCGTCAGTCAGCACAGTACAGAGAGATGCCCCACAGTACTTCTGGGAAATATAAACCACACAGACTGGAGGGGGATCAGCCATGGAGAAGGCAGCAGAAAGCAACAGCTCGTCTTCACCAAAGTACACATTGGTGAGTTCAGCCAGCGGTGTGGCACTGCACAGTCACAGCACAGAGAACCAGCCCCCAGCCCAGGGCAGCACTGACTGTATGCATAAAACAGACAAAATAAGTGAAATCTGTAAAACCACATATAGACTGTCCATTTTCAGAAGTTAAGTTTCACCACTGGGAATTTAAATCCCACACGCGCTCCTGAAAATACCAGCCACGCAGAGCCTGCACAGATGCTCCTGTTCCCTCACTGCTGGCAAGCACTGAGCTCAAAAGCAAACCCCACGGCTGGCAGAGGACCAGGCTCACGGTCCTCTGAACACGTGCTCTTTATTTCTATCTAAGGTTCTCCAGGACAAGTGCAATCAGAACGTGACCTCATGCCTTTCAGTGGTTCTGCTGACGTTGTAGATCAGAAGGTTGCTGGGAAGGACTTTAAAGCCTGTTCAGCCAGGCCTTTAATGCAGCCTAAGCTGACACACAGACTAGGGCAGCTCCTGTCGCTACCTTTGTCCTGGTAATAACAATAAAGGAAGTATTTTTAAAACAGCCAAGCAAAGTGTGTTAGCAGGGCACAACCACTGCAGGTGTGTCAATAGAGACAGTTCCTCTGCCTCCCGGCCTGGTTGCCTTCAGCTCAGCTAAAAGCCCCTCAAAACAGAGGGTTTTCAGGCAAAGGGGGCAGTTCTCTCCCTCATGCTGCTTTCCAAACCAAAGCAAGCAGCAGAAGCCAACTCACACAGTCCTGTCCTGGGCAAGCCCAGCAGACCTGCAGCCCACCACAGGGAGGGGTCATAGGGATGGTAGGGAAGGGGGGACGGGGACTCCTGGCGTCCTGGCTCTGCACCAGGAAGACCTGTAGCCCAGAGATTCCCACATGGCTGAGGCCCAAATCCACAGACTAGTTTTAAAGTCTCTTTTCCAACCAAGTGCAGCCAAAGCGTTTTGCCTGACCCAGAAAACACTCATGTGCTCTGATCCCCTGGGAAAGGGGTGTGGGTGGGACACGGAGCAATGAGGAAAGTGCACACTCCTGCTCAGGTTTAAATACGCAAGAAGATAACTTGTCTGAATGTCTTCCCCCTCACTGTGTGATCGGGAAAGAGGCAAGTAGGAGAAAGGCTGAGGCTAAACCTGCGGTGCAGACATGAGCCCAACCCCACTCTGCAGCATCTCCCCACAGCTGCAGGGCACAGGAGGACAGAACAGGAACAGCTCTCCAGGAGGAGTGAGCACAAAATCCCCGCAGCCTGCAGCAGGCACAGCACACGCATATTCAAGCAGATCAGATTTGGCTTCACTCCCTGCTGCGAGAGGAGACTCCCAGCATGGGGAAAGCATAACTACGAGATATGAGTGGGGCAGCTGGTAATTAGTTATAAACTTTTAATTACTGGGAAGGCGGGCAAACCCTTAGGAAGCACCAGGAGGAGTCTCCCAGCAAACAGAGCCAGGGAGCTCACTGTTGCTCTCCAGGCACTCCACAGGCATTGGGATGTGGCTCTGGTCCAAGCCTGGCCCCACGGGCTCTGCCTCCCTCAGCAGGGGCAGCCCCAGCCCTGAGCAGGCACCGGCTCCCGGCTGCCCCTCCCTCCTCCCAGGGCTCACTCCCGGCTGGGAGCTTTCCAAGGGGAGCTGCCAGGGAGGCTGGAGGAGCAGATGGGCTGGAATCCCTGCTGGCACCGGTAATCTTTCAAAAACTATTCTGGGATGCAATTCACCGGGGCTCACTTGGTAAAGACGGATCTCCAGGCTGAGCTGCTCTGGCCTAATAATGAACTGGGTGTGATTAACCAGAGCCTTCCTGCCCCTCCTGCAGCTCCCTCCAAGCGCTGCCCTGCTCGCTGCGGGTACACGTGGATGCAGCCCTTTCCCAGCTCCACAGGGACTGGGTGTGTGCCTGCACTGGGAGCTGAGTCTGGGAGCAGGAATGGCCCTGGCCTCTCTGCAGAAATGGGCACTCACTGAGGGACAGGGAGCAGAGACCCTCCTGCCTTTGTATTTCTTCCCACTGCAGCCAGTATGGAAGAGGGCGGCTGAGCGTCTCCCGTGTCCCTCTTGACCGGCAGCCCCGGGAACAGACGCTCTCTGGCATTTCCCTCACGACAGATTATCTTCTGCAAATCATCCTGCCCACATCAGGTGCCAGGATTTCCCATCAGTCTGTAAAGTCCACAGCGACAGCCAAAGTGCTCATTGGGACGGCGGTCACTGACCTGCCCCGGCACAACAAACACCTTTAGAGACACCCACTGACCCCCAGGATGTTTTTTCTAAAACAAGAATTTCTGTCAGCACCATCACCATGGATCCTATGCAACACAAACACAGCAGCTTTGAAATAAGAAGTAATCACACATCGTTTTCTGAGATACAAGCCTTTGGGATTTTCCAACAGAAAGGGCACATAACATTAGTGCTGAAATGGGCAGAGGGGTCTCTGAAACTACAAACAACACAATCACTGAGAGTTACATTTTGATAAAAGGAATTCTTACAAATGCCCGACCACCTGTCCTACAAGGTGTGAAACTTCATTAAGGCAGAGAGACCTGGAGCAGCTGCAGGGCAGGAGCTGCTGTCCAACCTGCCTCCACAGCCACCAGGAAGGGCCATGGTGAGGGGTCAGGTCTGGTGCTGGCACCTGGGATGACACTTAAGCTGCCTGCTAAGATCCTGAAGGACACACGCTTAACCTGGCTCATGAAATACTGACCCTGTTTCTTCATGGTGGAAAGGTCACCTAAGTTACCTGCATTTGTGTTTTCCCACTTCTCTAGAGTGGCGAGGCCGGGCTGGCCCCGGGAGCTGCGGAGCCCGAGGAAGGCCAGGCGTGCCCCTGGCAGCTCTGTGCTGCTGGCACAGGGCAGTGGGGTGACACCTGACTGAGCACAGCTCACGTGCACCACGGCAGTGCCAGTTCTGTGGAGCAGAGGAGCCCAGCCCACCCCAGACTGCTCTCTGCAAGCACCGGGCTCCAGCACAGACCCTCCTCCTCACGGCTGTGCCACAATCATTGTGACATTTCTCTTTTTCCTGTTAAGCAATTGGGAACCCCAGTTGTCCAGGCAACTCTTACTCTTACAGTCATTTGTCACTGCAAAGAATTCTCCATTTTATAGCTGTCTGTAATTAAATGGCTCACTCTTATGTCAAGATTGGAAATAATGCCTCTAAACGCCTTCCCTGTGCCTGCCCCAGGAATGCTGCTGGCCCTGTGGTTGGCATTAGTGAAATTTAAAAGGCCTTATTACAAAGCTCCCCTCATAAACATTATATTAGCAATTTAAGAATGCACTTTCAATTACGAGCTTTTCCAAAGCATATTTCAGTTGTTACCTTTTCCTACACAGCATTCACTGACTGAAAACCCCTCATCAATGAGCGATCAGGAGAGTGATTTGCAATTTCAAGCCAGATTGTTTAACTCTTTGCTCTGGGGATCACAGCTGGTGCCACAGAGTGGAGCTGCTGCACCAGGAGGGTTCCTGAGCTGCCATCCCACCTGCAGGACCTCCAGCACAGACCACACCCAGCCAGGTAGGCTCTCCACTGCCACATGGAGCTTTGATTCCTATAAGCAATGGGAAAAAATCTAAACACTAAGAAAAAGATCTTATCCGTGCAGGGACTGTCACGGTGCAGGAGATCCACAGCAGGAGCATCCACCAGCCTGACTCCACAAACATTCCAATCAGGACCAGTGGGATGCTGGAACAGGCCATCCCCACACAGCCCCAAACGGAACCCAAACAGCCCCAGCTGCCAAGACACCACAGTCACCTGTAGGACTCTGGGGTTTGCCACTGGTTCTATCAGTTTTGAATCGTACTAAACTGTCTGTGGAGTTCCTACAACAACCACTCGCCCCAACCCCATCCGACCTGCCACGATGGAGCGGAGCCCAGGAAAGTGGGAAAACCAGGAGCCAGCTTCCCTGGCATCAGGTTGGTGTCCCCACCCTCTGCAGCGACTGCCTGCACTTGCCAAGGTGACACATCTGCCAGACTCTGCCTGCACAGGACCCGCTCCTGCACCACAGACCTCCCAGACCCCTGGCCCCTGTTCCTGCTGATGCCAACCAGCCCCTTGGTCTGCAGGAAGCAGCCATGAGGAACCCCGGCTGGTTGCCACAGGAACCAAAGCCATGGTTTCCATGGCAACTGCTTCACTCCGCTAGCTCTCCCAGCCGAGATCCCGCAGCAGTGCCGGATGTGCTGGTCTGGTACCACTGACAATGGGAAAACACAGGCTGGACACAAGGGCAGCACCACAGAGCGATGTCACCGCCCCGCCAGTCACCACACACAGCTACAGCCCACTGCAGCCTCTGCTGCACCACAGGACCACGGTCTGGCTTTCCCCAGACACGAGGCAAAATCATGAGGGGCTCAACCCAAAGCCCCAAGTCATGGCGGGACCGCGCTCAGCACTG